ACATTTCATTATATGTAAACTCAATGTGCTTAACACAGAACATAAAAAATAAAAGTATAAGATAAGACATGAAAGCACTAGCACTTCGAGTATTGCTAATTTTATTTAAAAACACTTCAACTGATTCTTGACTGATCAGATGTTAAATTTGGGGAGCTCCTTGTAGGGATGCCGTTACAGGCTCTAATATGGCAGAATACAACCAGAGTCTGAGTCAGCAGGTCGTGTATGTGTTTAGAGGCTTGTGGTTCAATGTCCGCGCTGCTCCAGCTCCACTCATCTCTCTCCCCCACACACCCTCCATAGTGTTCGATATGCTGATCCAACTGCTGCCCCCATGCGCACATGGAAAGATGGAAAGCTTTTACGCACCGCGCGCGTTCACTTAAAACGGGTTTAGCTGTTGTTTCTGCATTGTCACACGCATCGCCTGGTGCATAAGTAGGCTTCGGCATTAGGGATGTGCTGTAGAAAAGTAGGGGATGCGGTAATACTTCACTACATAATACAGGGGGGTGGGGGTAAGAGACAAGGCGTGCGTCCAGATGCTCACCGCCAACTAAACGCGAGAGAAGCTCAGACATCAATAACATCTCGCTCATCAATAAGAAATTTTGATGGAGTTGGACTGCTTAATTAAATAGGTTGCCTTTACGCTAGCTGAATTTGTAATATTTAATCTGATGACCCCCAATGGACAAGATCTGAAGGAAGAACTCTTCAGCGTCTCCATCCACAGGAAAGCGGCTCGGCCAGACAGAGAATCCGACTTGGAGATATTTCTTATCTTTCAGTGATGGCTATTAACACTGATGCTGCCTTTGGGAAAAGCGCCCTTGGCGAGAGGGAAGTTTCTATACCCACCGGCTTCCAGGACACGGAGAAGCTACTGAGCACAGCAACCACCGAGCCCACCGGGCAGAGCAACATCAAACCATCTGACTCTTTCTCCCTGAACATCAGAGGGAGTGTCCGCTCCCTGGATGCGGACCAGAACGGACACAGATCACCTCTTAAATCGGGCTCCGTTGGGCAACTGGCCCCACCCAGATCCTCGTCCCGGCTTTTCCTGGGACAGCTGCCCTCTCAGGTGCCACCGGACACCGACCCCCCGAGTTACCTCTGGCTCGCCGTGCTGTCCTGTTTCTGTCCCGGCTGGCCGCTCAATATTTGTGCCTTGTGGTATGCAAATGTGGTGAGTGCCGCGCAGTTATTTAGCTTTTACTTTATCCATAGACATTTTTCTCCGGGCTTTAAATCACACTGTAAATCCAGGTGTTTTGCTACTGTTTTGCAACTGTGTTGCTCTTAAATAATTTATGTTTTATCTCCTTCCATTTCCCGT